TGTCTGTCTGTCTGGCGAGCGTACGCACCCTACAGTGAAAATCTCTCCAAAAAAAAAAAAAAAATCTAAAGCTACAGGACCAGCAGTTGGCATAATGGTTATGTTGCTGGACTCCCATGTAGTTGACTGTGGTTCAAATCCCGGACCTGGTGGCTTAAACTCACGCTGGGTGTGTGTGCTTGCATGCCCAAGATCCCTAAAGGAGAATGGAGGAAAGGGGATTGTGGTGTGGCCATACCCCCTGGGGGGTGATTTCTGGCTTTCTGTCTCTCTGTCTCTCTCTCTGTCTTTCTGGTGAGTGCACGCACCCTATAGCAAAAACCTCTCCAAAAGAATCTAAAGCTGCTTTTCTTGAAATTAAAAAAAAAGTATATAAAAGAACAGACAAAAAATTAATAAAAAAATTTCCACTTAATGACTGCAGTAAGCTATATAGTCTCAACTAGGTGCTACTTTATAGTATGTTCATTCTACTCACTGAGTTTTATGCCTCAAGTCAGACATGTGTTCATAGATATGTTTCTATCAACTGCACTTACTACTGAAAGTATATAGTTTAATTAAGATCTTTTGTGAAACAATAAAATGTGAAAAAAAAATAACATGGAAAGCAACTGTAGACACAGTATGGAAGGAGGGTGGGAAATAGCAGAGAGTGAGAGGGAGTTAATCAAGGAGGAAAAAGAAGTAAGAAATGGAAAATTATGTGTTGAAGATAACATGTATGGTAATACCTTTGACTGAGCCAATATACAGTGTATTCCGGATGGGAAAACTCATTTTGTATGCTGCAATGATATAGTAACTGAATGTAAAATAAATAATTTTTTAAAAAAAGAATCAAGGTTTTCTTCAGTTATCAGCTTTACTAGCTTAGAAAAAATTTCTTAACCTTTCTGACCTTCAGCTTTTTATCTATAAAATGTAGATCATATGTGGTGGGGCTGTGATCCCAAGCTTTCTATAGGGGATTGGTTCCAGAACTCTCACAGAGACCAAAACCTTGAATATTCAAATCCTTTTTATACAATGCCATATATTTGTATATAACCTATGCACATGCTCCCACTTCGATCACCTGTAGATTACCAGTAATACCTATTGCAGTATCAATGTGGTGTAAATAGATATACTGTTTGGGAATAGTGGCAAGCCTGTTCATGTTTTGTATGATGCAGGCATTGTAGGCCTAAGTACATAGATCATGTCAGTGACAACAGAACACTTTTGACTTACGTTGGTTGAATTGTGGATGTGGAACCTGCTGGTACAAAGGCCTGACTGTACTTGTTTTTATAGTATTGTTAGGAAGATTAGAAATAACAAATAGGATGTTTGGCGCAATTCATGACATTTAGCAGGTGCTCAATAAATGGAAGTTAAATTAGAAAAATTATTTATATTAGCTATAATAGATAAATGTTACACAGACATGCAGAAACAACCTGATTATTTTAAAGAAAGTAATAGCCTTAAAATGGACCAACATTGATGTATGGAGCCATAAATGAAAAAGCTAAGTTTAGGTAAAAACAATTTGAAATCCATTGGGTCTTAATGACAGACTCATTGGTAATGTAGACAAATTCTGTATCTTTCCCCTCCCAACCTTTTTTTTTTTTTTTTTGCCAGAGGATGGTGCACTCGCTGGGAGCAGAGAGAGAGAAAGGGGAAAGCACCCTCAATGGGGAATGGTCATGCCACAGTCCCATCTCCTCCATTGCTACGTCCTTTCAAGATTTTTGACATGCCCGCTTTTGGGCCCAGCTTTTTTTTTTTTCAATTCACTGAGTCCAGGACTCGAACTGTGCAGTGGGCCACATGGGATCCAGTTCATGTAACCAGCAGGCCCTTTGTATGCTTCTCTTCACAGATTACCTGTAATTCTGTGTATGAATTAATTACTCTGTAAACTGTGAATCTAATGAAATGTTGGTTATTATTATTATCCTTGTAATACATAGGAGTTACCAGGTGATGAACTAAATAAGGCTTCATTTATTAATCATTTTTTGAGTTTGTGATGTGTTTATATAAGGTTTTCTTTTTCTACTGAATTCACTTTCCTTTTAAGTATAAAGATATAATCAATTTAATTGAAATGTAATGTCATATCAAATGTAATATCTACATCTTTGATATAGATATATTTAGTGTTTTTTTTTTTTATAACTTAGGGGCCATTTATAAACATCTTTTGTTTTTAGTTTTTGCTATAGGACTCATGCATTTGCCAGAGAGAGATGGGGTAGGGATAAGAAACCCCCCCCATGTCTCTTTATACACACACACATACACATACACACAGACATACAGACACACACACACATATACACACATTTTTACACACATAGTATTGTACTTAAAGAATGCCGTTGAATACACTGTTCTTGAAGACTTGGTTCTTAAGGGTGTGGGACATAAGTTTGTGCTGACTTTCTTCCTAGAATATAGTTGTTCAATAACAAAATTGTCTAAATTCTTTCAGAACCGTTCTGATTTTCAATGCCAGCATCGATGGCAGAAAGTTTTAAATCCTGAATTGATAAAGGGTCCTTGGACTAAAGAAGAAGATCAGAGGGTAACATGTTCATATTCTTTATGTTCACAGTGTAGGTGGCCTAGATTTTTTTCTTCCTGTTATGTTGTTCTGATATATAAAGTATATGTATAGGGAACCAGCAGTTAGCGTAATGGCTATGTCGCTGGACTCCTATGTAGTCGACCGCGGTTCGTGTCCCAGACCCGGTGGCTTAAAACTCACGCCGGACGTGTGTGCATGTGTGCCCAAGATCCCAAGAGGAGAATGGAGGAGAAGGGATTGTGGTGTGACCATCCCCCCTGGGGAGTGATTTCTCACTTTCTGTCTCTATGTCTCTCTCTGTCTGTCTGGTGAGCACACGTGCCCTATAGCGAAAACCTCTCCAAAAAATATATATATATATATGTATAAATGACTTTGATTTTGTTCTCTGGAGGCTGCATGCATAACTGAATGTTGAGTGTCTTGAAAAGTATTATTTTTTAATTGACTCAAAACAAGTATAATATGTAGAGCTTTCTGAGTTTGGTTTACAAAAAGAAAAATTCTTGCTGTAAACTTACTTTGTTTAGAGCTTAGTTTAGCAATATTTAGAGTATGAGTTCCTATTTAAAATTGAATTAACTTTTTTTTGTAAGGTTTTTTGCCATAAGGTGCATGTGCTCACCAGAGAGAGAGAGAGAGAAAGGGAAAGTG